TCGAATTTATGTTTATACTTTTTATATAAGAATTGAATGGGAATTACTGAGTAAATCTACTTGACATTATTGGGTGCTGTTACTTTTTCCATCTCTAGAGGAAAATTCGGGCACATTCGGGCAGCTGGACGAAGAATCCTAGATGATTCTGGTTTAGAGCAAATGAACATACCCCAACTTTTCTAAAATTGTCTACTTCATTCTGAAAAATTTTACATTCGAATAATGATTGTACTTGATTTCGAGCTCTGACAATTTACTGGCAAATTATCTGCTTACTAATTTGACAGTCATCAAACAGCGAGAAGTTTCTGTACGAACAGCGCATAACTTGTCGGTAAAAGGTCTTGCCTCCCTCAGCCAACTCGTAGCGTTCTCATGTACGCAATCAATACAGTCAGCGACGTGTCAGTGACAGCTAACTGCGTAAACTAGGTCATGACTTGTCACCGACTATCAGTTTGCTGATTGTCAGCAAACAGGCTGTACGAACAAACCATTAGTCGCCTATTGTCGTAGAGAATCCACTTTTCATCACATGTCACAATCCCGTCGAGATACGGGTCACTTTTGTAGAAGGGCAGACGCCACCTCAAACCGCTCAATTCGTGCGATAGCCATTTATCGAGCTGTTTTGATTATCCGGTTCGTTTCAAGAGGTTGGAAATGGCCGCAATACCCACATCAAGCTCCTCTGCAAGCTCACGAACAGTTGTGGGTATGCTTCCACCAGAGGCTTTTAATTTGTCGTTGTCGATATAATGAGGCCAACAACTGCACTCTTCATCTTCACCGCTGCGGAATTTTTTGAACCACCATTGTGCCATACTTTCGTTAGTGGTTCCTTGGCCAAATCCATCGTTGATATCGCGAACTGTATTGGCAGCTTTACGACCTAATTTGAACCGGAATAAGAAAACCGTACGAATTTGCCTCTTGTCCATCCTATATTTGAAAACAAACTATTGTAAAATAGAACGAATACAACGAATAGATATGTAGATCGAAAAACGCGCATTAAAATGAGATATGAAGTCAAAGTATTATAAATAAATTTTAGTGTCAAATACGTCATTTAAAATATAAATAACAAGAACTTTCCGAACAACCTGATATCTGCTGCTGTACAAAATGAAACTACTGAATGCAGTTAACTGGACTACCGTGCAAAAAACCTTACATTAATTATTCGCTCGATTTTTTTTGGAGAATAAGGATTCTGTAACGTATATCTTCAAAGAGTTTATTAATAACAATTTTGTTCATCAACAGTGAGACACTGTTATTTTCAATATATATCTCAAGACAAAAATGAAAAATAGGTTTTTGTAGCTAAATCATGTCATATATGAAGTGTATTTCTTGATTTATTATGAGAATTGGGAGCCCATCTTACACAAACCGTTTAATTTGTCTCTAGTTTGCGAGACATTTTACAAGAAATCGACCAAATTCATTAGATCCATTAGTTCAAAGGTGCCTTCTCATTGGTTCAAATTGTGCTAAAGGCGCAAATTTTCACTATCGCGGGTCAATAGTAACATCGGTCCTAAAACACAACCAAAAAAAAAATCGTAGGCAAGTTATCAAAATTCTTAAACATAGATATCCGAGAAAACTACCTTTTTACCACGCAATTTTACCCAAACTATTCCCAGGATATAAATGACGATTTTTTCTTTCATGAAATTCCGTTTTGAATTTCTGCCTGAAACTGGTCCTGAACTGGAATTTCCCAACAGTTAGTATGTTCTACTCAAAATCCAAATTAGTTTATTTTTCAGGAACAGCAGTGCTTCAGCAACAATTAGTTTACGCCGCCCGAACCTCTCGAATGTGTTGCCTCAGAACTATTAAATTCGTCGCTGATTTTCAACCTTGTCTGGTTTTTTATTTTCGCCCTGCGATTTTATCCACGCAACGTATATAAAATTACCAAGTTTTCCAAGCATGTTGCCAATTTACTAATGTCGTCAAAGGTACAAAATATGGTCTAAAATTTACAGCGCTACTTAAAAACAATTTTTTATTTTGGTAGCAATTTCAAGCGTATCAAGTTGCAGGTAACAGCTAGTGAAAAATAAAACGCCTGTATCGCTTGACGATCACAGGTTGAGTGGAGCGATGGCAGGCCGTGCTGTTGCCTGCTTGACGCTGGCGGTTAAAGGTCCATTCACACTCAGCCGTGACAGTACCGTGACGTGCCAGTGATTCTCGCTGACGTGAGCTCACAGTGTTTTCAATTCACACCTGTCAGTATTCTTCTCCGTGCTCTGACAGTGCAGTTGTGTTCCCGTGAGGACGAGATGGTAAAATTTTCAGAGGATGAACTTGCAAGTATTGCATTAATTCTGGATTTTTTTATACTCCAACTACCACAAAGGCCTAAGGCCTAAACAACCATGGGGTACCGTGGTGCTATGCTGGGAAATACAGGGGAAAGAGGGGCCGCCACACGGACTCTGGCGAGGGCGTGTGCCTGCGACACGCACACATACTGGCCCCGCCTACGAGATCCGCCGGGTGGTACCTCCGCGTTCGACAGTCAGAGACTGTCTACCACCTACGAAAGATTAAGAAGAAGAAACGAGAAGAAAACGGAAGTCCATGTATTTTGAATTTGACTGATTCTACAGCACGGGATGTGCGCGTACAAATTAGTTTTTCATCATTCATGTTTTTGACAAATATATCAAAATATTCTCGAAATTATATAAAAACATGGCCGTGAAAATCGAAAAATATCGTTCCAAAATAATGCGATGATCATGGTACGGCGTCGTCGAGAGTACTGAGAACACGGTCACTTGCACGTGCCGGTCTAGTGTAAATCAGTTCATCCAAATCTCAGGAAGAATGTTTTTAGTTCGCGAATCACGTGCCGGTCACAGCACTGTCACGTCACGGCTGAGTATGAATAGGCCTTAATACTTTGGTGCCTGCCGCGACAATTAAATATTGGCAAATGTCACTGAAAAATTGAAAATGGGTTCGCGGATAAAACCATGCATAACCCTCTTCGGGCATCAATTAGTAAGTGTACAAATTTTTACTAGTCTCCGTATTGTGGTTCATACATATTTTTTTGCATCTTACAAAAGCATGCCGCCTATGCATCCGCATCTACTCTACCACTAGATCAGTTTTTAAAATGAAGATTTTTTGCTTTGGCATGGAAGTATCCAGGTTGTCAGTTTTTATCGAAATCCGAGCAATACTTCCAGAATTACATAGAGGTCAAGTATTTTATCGAACATATACTTCAATACACGGCAGATAGATCAACGGAAATGACTGACGTGGTATTTCGTAATGTAAAAACCTAATATCTTTTTTTTCGCAATTACAATACCTTCTCGCCTATAGGCTCGTGAAGTAAAAGTGATGATTGTAGTTGCTTGTACGGAAGAACTGGGGCAATGTGAAATATAATACGATTTTGCAGAAAAAACAATACTAGAAAAGCTTCTTGCGAATCCAAACTTCCGTCTTATTCCGAAAATGCATTCCAACCCCTGAGATACTAACCAATCCGAGAAGATTGTAGCAGAAAATAAGCTAGCCAGTTTATTGGCTTCCAAAAGACAGCGAGCTATAATAGAATTTAAAATGAGTACAATCGGATACAATACGAATTGGTACTACGTTTCGCGGTGGAGGAAGCACAGTTCTTTTGCATCTTGGGTAGAATTCAAAACAACATTCTAGTGTTATATATTTTATACGTGAAACATTTGCTCCTGAGTCAGTTGATCAATTTGTCCAGTCTGGAGAAAACAAACCAGAATTTATTATGACTAATTAAATGAGCCAACTGGAACTTTAGTCTTATTGATTTTCATTTTGCATCTAAAGGTCTTTACGTTTTCTCATTTTAGCGGCAAAAGACTGTGAGGAATCTTAGCAGACCTAAAATAATCTAGTATATCAAATTTATTCAATCACTTCTTAATCTTAATGCTGTATCTGTAATAAATATTATTTTCTTTTCTTTGCCTTATTTAATGTGGATGTTTTAATAATATTTGAATGGTTCACATCGTATAGTATTCATTCTCTGCTGTACTAGAGTACATCCAGTACAATTTTCTATTTTAAAAAAAGTGTTCGCCAATTTAAGAGTTTGTAACTTTGGTAAGCTTTGGAAGATCAATCCGTGCATTAGATTGGACTGAACTATGCAATTTTGACGACAAACACTGCCTTGTAATCACTAACCTATCCGAATTCGTTGTAAAGAACCACTTGGACGATGGCACTTCTATGGTCAGGATGAAAGAATACTTCTCTGTGGAGAGGCAGTGGAGTTATGTGGTGAAAATAAAATGGTCAATCAATTTATGATTTTTTTTTGTTTCAGAGCCTCTTCTAACAACATTTTGGGGCGTAAAAATTGTACGGACGTTGTAGCGGGTGAGTAGTTGCGAATAATCTTGGGTAGTTGCTAACATTTTTTTTTTCTTATATTGAATAGCCACGCAGTTACGTTTGATTAGCATGCATTTCCTGACCTTCTTGTTCCTCTAACTGCATCCATAATAAAAAGCTTGATGCATGGCAGAAACCAGTCAATGCCTGCCGTAAACATATAACATGAAATTAACTCAGACCTAATCCACCTTCTTACCTCTGCTGAAGTTGTAAAAGGCAATCGGACTGGCTGCTATCAAGTCGTTACGTAGCCGGGATGAGTCCCTCGTTAGCGATGAAGTAACAGTTAACATCACGAAAAGAAACTGTGTAGAAAAAAGCGCACTACCGATCTGACAAGTCAACGGGAAACGGAAAATCCGGACACCAGATGCTTTTTTGCAAGGTACAAGGGTTAGTTCGACGGTTCGAGAGTTTGATATCGTATCAGTTTTTTATTCGCATATGCTTATTTTATATACCTACAGGATTATTCAAAAAGTCTGGAAACGGTCTAACATCTTGGGAAGTAGAGAATCGATATTTAACAAATTCTGAATTCACGAGTAGATAATATTAACATCGTTGTTGCTAGAATTTCTATTTATTCATATCTACTTCTTCAAGCTTAAACGCAGTGGTTATACTAAATAGTGCAAGAGGGTTAATATACGGTAATAAAAGTTATAGCATTGAATTTCGATTTAAAAAAAATGGTGTCAAGTCGGTTGACTCTGCACGTCTCACGCAACGCGGTCATCAGCTCATAAAAGATTGAGTTCGGCACAAGTTATCCCCTCTGAAAAAGATTAGCTAAGAACAAACGATTAAGTCAGTCAAAAAGTTCCATACAGCTATTCCCCACTCTTCACGCGTGTGACAACGTTATTATCTAGAAATTTGCCGTACGGTTAGTACCGACCATCTGGCAACGCTGGCATTGGCGCTCGCAGGGGGGTGTCATGGACAGCGGTTGGACCCTAAAATTTGCATACTTAGCATGATTTTGAGTACTGTTTTAGGTATTATTGGGGAAACTAGCTAACCCCCAAAAGGTTTTGCTCTTCAAAAAATAACTCTTGCCTTGCCCTAAAAAGAATTCCTGAGGCAGCTCATGAAAATTGTTAGGATATACCTCTCCGCTCCTCAACCACGGCACTATGGCAGCCCTCGTTGAATACGAAACACTGTCATCATCCTGAACGTAGGTATTAGTATATCCAGAGAAGCGTTTGTTGAAAATATTTCTCCCATTCTAAGTTATAAGGGCAAATCCATGATCTGTAGAACATGTCTAATAGATAAAAATTTCATCAATCTACGACAGGCACGGGTATCACGTATCTAGAAAAGTGACATTAAGCCGATTTTTTTTGACATGCTGTTTTTTTTTGACATTATGTAGGTTATTCTACAAGATGTTGACTTATCACTTAGTTGTACGTGTTGCCTAAACGTCAAGAGGCTTGTTAACAATCTTTGGCTTTGATGTGATGTAAAATCTGCTTCTTTGATGGCATTACTGGAGGTCTAAGCTGTAAGTTGTATGTGTTAATGATAATTACATTGGGTTCTTGTCTCAAATACACTTAATCGAGATTCAAAGCTAGAAATTAGTTGCGCATCCACTTTTTCTTATCCATTCTGGGACTTACATGTACAGATTTGCTGAATTTCAAAAATGAGAGAGATAAGAAATAATTATATTCACTGTACACTGTCGAATTACAAGCCATATACATGCTTACAGTAATTACACACAACGCGGGCGCGGTGATGATTTTCCGTAATTCTCCTCAGTTTTTCGTAATTTATAACTTTGAACATAACCTCTCTTCAGAAAGCACAACATATAAATAACCTGTCATATTCAGCATATTTAGTCACGATTTTCTCACACAGCAAGTATCACTGATTTTATACACATGCAGACCAATACACATAATCATCCAGATGCGGTCTTGCTATTCAACCAACTTTCTTCTCAGAGATAAAAACTACAGACCCGGATCACTCAACCTCACAAAACTATGCAACCAATAATGCGTAGTTTAGTTGAGTGATTCCTCTATAGATGGACGTTACAACGATCCTAGTGAGCAAACGTGGAATGACTGTTTGCGCCCTAAAAACTACCTAGTCTGCAAGTTGACATCTTATAAGTTTTTTTTGACATTTTATAGGTTTTTTACATGACATCCGTGCGGTACTTCTCAAGTTATAGACTGACCAAGTAGTAGCGGACAGACGGACTGACAGACCGACGGAAATGAAGTAAAAATGTCATTGCGCTATGTTTCCGGTTACCGTACAATCTTTTTTTCACAATCTCGTTTTAAAGTAATTTTCTAAATTCATTTTTGTGTTCTGCTACTGTCTCACAGATGGCGCTAGTGTCTTTTTGACCACCGGAATGAGGTATATGATTGGCTATCTTCAGGTAGAATACGTTTCCCAATGCTGACACCAAATTGTCTCATTACCTCATTGATTCTATTCTCATTAAATATGATTGGAATTCTATTACAACAGCCAGAGAACAATCTAAGCCCTGCTATTCCAACCCTACTAAAAATGTCAATGGAAAACAGAAAGTTTCCAACCAATTCCGCTTGTGTCGTTCGCTACTGCGCTAGCTAAAACTCAAACAGGGAAACTAGGCTGCTGCTTTTTGCCTTATTTTCTATTCACAAACTGCATTCCGCAATTGGAGTCCTCATTGTTAGGAACAAATTGGACTCAAGTAGGTTAATTAGGAGAAAAAGTACAAAGCAACTTATTGTCTGAGAAAAGCTTTGGATATCCTTTGTTACAAGCAGGGTAGTTTTGAGAAATGTCGAAAGCTAGGACCAACTTAAAGCCTCCGTAACGGCTATGATAAAAATATGTTAAGAGACATCATAGCTGAAGCGCGATTCAGAGGTTGTCACGTTTAAAGGAATTGTGGTAGATTTAGACATTTTTTAATCGATCGGGAACACTGCACTGCGTGCACGCCGATAAAGGAGGGACAGGGAGGGTCTTAGGTAATAGAATTAGCTCCTAAAATTTGCATATTTAGCACATTTTTGTGTATAATATTGGGAATTTTCAAGTTTCGCCTATCCTCTTTTACAATAGACAAGAAGGCACCTACTACCGATTTCTAATGTGTGCCACTGGGAAAATTTCGGCGGGCGCTAATAGAATATTAGAAATTAGGTAAATTTGTGTATTTTGTTATAAAATGACCTTTGGACGAACTCTGTATATTGCTCAGTATACTAGTAGTGATGGCCGGAAGACAGGTGTTTTGGGATAAGAAATTTTCAAAAGCTACTTAGCCAATCAACACCAATTTTGTAGTGGATATTCCGAGGTATGAAGCCTACGGATTTGGAAAATTTCAAATAGCTGCGTGAAATTATCGTCGCATTAGCAACAAGTGCATTTTGCCTTAGTTTTCGGCCATAACTTTTTTACTATTAGTCCGATCTTTTTACGTGTGGTCGCCTTTTGTAGATCTCTTTCTTTGTTGTCGAATGAAAAATTGGTGTACCCTTGGTATGCGTCCATGTTTTGAATTCCCCGTTGAACAATTTGCATCAATAAAACCTGGCTTTACGATTATTTCGGAGAAATTTGCTAATATGATTAAACTATCATCTCATTATTACATGGTGCGTATTGAGAGTACTAAAAACACTGTTATCATTTTTGTGTAAATGCACTTTTTGTGCATTTAATTCGTAATCGTAAGTTGTTAATAAATACTAGTACGTCTCTGAAATTGTATATCATACTATAATACATTTGAGCGGGTCTTTTTTCTTATCACTTCTTCTTTTCGAAAAATCTTTGTTTTTCTTCAAAGCCTTAGTTTCCAGCAAATTGAGTTTCCAAGAAAAGCAAAGATCTTTTGAAGAGAGAAAGTGATAAGAAAAGAAGTATTCACCCGCACAATTCTTCCATAAAAGTGGAATATTCACATACGATATTAGAGCTGCACTATTATTTGTTAACAAGAAGAAAAGGATGAAAAATGCACAAAACAAGGATTTTTTGGCAAAAGGAAACTGATAACATTGTCTATTCACACGATGAAACATCAGACGAAAAGTATTAACAATACTTCTCCAGGCAGGCAGTTGAAAAATGGGATATCTGAAGTTAAATAAGTTCTCTTTCAAAGTACGAGTTCAAAAACTTTTTTTCAACACACAAATATGAGGTTAAACCAAAGCTTGGTGAGAAGTATACTATACGTATAATAGATCACAGTACGATCAGTCACAGAAAGAGCCAGAAGCTACGAAGTTTTATTACCAGTAGTTGTACTTAGACCCAGAAACAACTTTAATTCTATCCTTAAGAGATTGTATGTGAGTAAATATATTCATCCGCAGCGAATGTTTCTGTATCAAAACCAGCAAACCCGTTTATCAAAAAAACTTCCACAAAAGTGGCCATACATCAAAATCACGCACAACAGGTAAAAATAAGCAGACATGCATCGGTAAGTTTTCCAACATTCGATCGATCAATCAAAAAAGAGGGCACAATACGCGCGCGGTAGCCGACAATGCACACAGTCCGTCAAAGTAAATGGTTGGCTCGTCGATCAACTGTGTATACACTCGCGCACCGCTGGAAAACTAGTGGAAATTGTGGAAATTCGATCGGTTGCCACGGCGTTCGTCGTCCGCTGTTTGACAATGAACCACCTTAATTCTTTATTCTTGTGGGAGGACATACAGGGGCGGATCCATCCTTATACTTGGATCGCGTTATTCATAACTTGGCCAAGTCCGATCTGATAAATTTTCAGGTTTAGCTGCCATCTGATGCGCAGTAGTTCAATTTACTTATAAAAAAAGGCATAAAGTAGATTGACTCTATACTTCCTACTTCTTTGGAGGTTTCAAAAAAGTGTGATAAATCATATCGTTTCAAGAGGCGAAATCGAATCGTGATTAGGTATGAGGATCACTTAGGCACGATGAATCTTCGACTTCTACATATCAAACTATATAAAGTGATTCTATCATATTTCTATTGCCGTGGCAGATATAGGGAAAACATGTAAGACTTGTTGTGTCTAACAGATGCATAGTATATCTGAGATCTCCAGCTTCTTAATAATAGAAGGCATTTCACTGACACCAACTATGCAACAATTTACAACCATTTGCCGCATACAGCTTTTAAACCTACAAGTTTTATTCCCTCCAAACAATGTCTGAAGATGAGCAAGAATCTCTTAAACGTTATAAAACTATTTTCCAACGATTTTATTTCCGTCGCCTCTGAGTCAATTTTCGAAATCTACGACTACCTAGAACATAGACGTTGGAAGTAGAGGAAGTGCAGCATATTTGGAGTAATGCAGGTAGCCTGGAATACTTAGTTATCTAAATAAATACAAACACTAATTCTATTTTTTGCCGTCAATATACTGTCGTAAATCACAGGAAAGTACAAGTACTAAGAACAGGACGGAATCTTGACATTTCCAGCTACCAGCCATACGGAACGAGACGTCTACATTTTTTCGGTAAGAATGCAATCATTGATAATTATTTACCATGATATATAAAATCCTCATAGCAATTATTTGAACTGTTATGTGTCCTCATTGGTTTACAATTTTATTTTAATTTTGTGCATATATCTAGAATTAAAAATGTGACATGAAATTTTAAGTTAGGATGTCATGTTGTTAATTTGGGCGAATTGTGGCTTTACGCTGCTTGTAGTGCTTATGAATCCGGTGTGTATGTCTATGATTATTGTAAGAAAAGTAACTAAGAACACTAAGCTATAAGTTCAGGCTAAATCCTGATTTGTGATTATTGAGACTGGTTACCTGATACTTAATAATTATATGCCATTTTGTTAAACACATTAATTACCAAAGACTGTAAAACGGTAACAATGTTGATAAATTTATTAGTTTCTAAGAAAAAGGGTAAACAATTGTCAAAAAAGGTGATTATAATTTGGAGTACTTTATTCCAAATTACCTGCACCCTGAGTAAATTTACGCTTTTGGAGTTTTTTACTTGGATAAATATTTTGATGAGGTTACTGGTTTTTGTTTTGTTTGATTGTTTATATCATTATTATTTATGAATATCTCAATAATTTGAAGCATTTTCTATTTTGCTATCCCGTTTATCAATTCCAAAACACAAACCAGTATCCCAAATATGCTGCAGTTCCTCTATTAAACACGCGATAATATTCGAACTTCCGATTCACAAGTTTTCTGTTGCTTAAAGATGTTTCTCATTTAAGTCGGTTTGTCAGTCCGTGTCTCTTGTATATCAATGCGTCAGAAGTAGGTACTGCGTCAATCTACTTGAGGAAATATTCAGATACCTAGCATAGACGGAGTAGCACAAATTAGAGGTTAGGCGAAATGATCATAAAATTCAGAAAAATATATGTGAAAATAATCAGGAGCCCGTCAAAAAACGAAGATCAAGCAATTTTTATTTTATTCGTATTTTTACCTCTAGCTCCACCACCACTAGACCGATTTTCAAAAACAACAAAGCTTTTCCATTCTTGGCATAGTAGTGAACCTGTGTGAAAATTTCATCAAAATCTGAGCGGTTCTTCTCAAGCGGTTATAAAATTAGCGGACTGACAGACAGACCGACAGACAGACAGCAGACCGACGGAAATGCGTGACATGGTTTTTCATGATATACAATATCTCATATAACATCCAAAAAACATAACATCTCAATTGCGAAATTTTTGCGATTACAATACGTCCAGTCAGTTTTGAAATAGGAAGTAAAATGCACGCGACATAAAGACATGACATTCAAGAACAAACATATTTTAGGCTAAGTGCCAATCGTAATATCTGTTGTTATTAATTTTGCAATACTTGACCAAACGACCAGATAATGTCTGGTGCTAGCAAACGTAATTCCAACGTCTTCCATAAAATGACCAACCAAGATATATAGTCAACGCCAAACAAAGTGGCGTGCACGTCATCAAGGTGGGTGTGTTGAAAAATTTACATTGTTGCCAAACTTTTTGTAAAATAATAAAATTTATTATTTACATATCTAGGTTTATAAGCAATATTAACCTCAAATGAGAACAAAAATAATAGTATAATAAAATTATAGATCTGTACTTGCATAATCATTAAGTATGACAATTATTGATCAGATGACACTATGAAACTACCATATTTAATTGATAGCTTAAAGGTACTGAATAAAAATCCAAATGGGGTCCTCCAAATTTTATGCATGGTATTTATTTTACAGAATTCATACAGAAAAATGCATTCTAAAATTAGGTAAGCTACTGGTGTAAGCTTTTTCTGTACAATAAAGTTAGTCGGAGTTTCTTTCTTCAGCGCTGTCTGAATCTGAATCTTCATCACTCTCAAAGTTGATTATTAAAGGTTCGATGTCTGGTCGATCAAAAATTCGTTCTCTTTCATACCATTTAAAAATTTCTTGCTCAGTATGTCGAACACTATTTTTCCACATGTCTGGGGTAACCGTTTGTAGAGCCTCGTTCCACATATCCAAACAGTCTTTTTCACTGTTACCATCTCTACCAATATGTCTGTTATAGTAACCTTTTGCTATGCCCCAAATTAACTCAATAGGGTTAAATATACAATGGTAAGGAGGCAGACGAAGAACTTTGTGTCCATGTTGTTCCGCCAATTCATCAATCACGTATATTTTAGGTGGTTTGTTTCTAAAAAAGCAGTTATTTTAAGAATATGAATAAACAAAAGAAATATAAACTGTCGACCAAAATATATATAATTAAGAAGCATTATGTACCGAGCAACAATACTCAATAGCTCTGTTTTAAACATTGTGTTTAAAAATGGTATATTTTGATTTGTCAACCAGTCTTGGATATTTTTTTTGTCCATGCATTGTTGGGCACTTTGTTCAATATCATGCTGTGATAAGGGGCGTTATCCAGTATAATCATAGATGGACTCTCCGATTTTTCTAATAACTGATGTTGAAACCATTTCAAAAAATTGTCCTGGTTCATCTCTCTATGGTAATCGCTCAATTTTGTTTTCGAAGAAAATATCGCTTCACTACCCTCAATAAACCCATTTTCATTTCCAGCATGTAATATAATGTATCTAAAATATATTAGTTTTAAATTTTATAGTGCAAATTGTGTAAAAGTACATACCTTTTACCATCTGTTTTAATAGCTTTCACGCTTTTTTGGTTTCCATTTTGCCAAGAGCGACCTATGGTCCCATTTTGAAATATCCAAGTTTCATCGAGGAAGACAAACTGGTATAAGGCCTCAACCTTGGCTTGATTGTATTGCCTTAGAAATTCCACCCTTTTCAAAGCTATACTTGGTAGTTCCATGAGCCCTCGTCGCGGATTGTCCTTAAGCCACTTAAATCCAAGATCTCTAAGCAACCGCCTTAAAGACGTGGCACTACCATCAAATAATGCCCTATCTCTTAATCGAGACCATAAAGTTTGTATCGTAACTTGTTCTTCTGAAACCATGTGTAATATGACATTATAATTTAGTTAACAAATTAATGCAAATTTCTGATAAGTTATTATAATAAGATCTTACTTTTGTGATACATATCTCGAATGGCACTTGTATCCAATGTCGCTGTGTTGGTTACACGTTTAATATAACTCCGCTTTTTCTTGGGCGATTCTAAATTTGCATCACTTTTCACACCGTCGGAAATACGACTAACTGTCCTTAAACTAATTTTTAAAGCAGCAGCAACACGCTACAAAAAATGAAATAAAATTTCACTATTATTAATATACATTACATATAATTATTAGTAACCTACCTCTTGAACAGCATTTAAAGGCAACAAAGGCCCGTTGTTGTCCCTTTCTTGCTCAAAGTAGTGCATTAACGAGGCCACGAGTTCCTTACACCGACTATTTAACTGTTTGGGCATCTTTATATACCAAAATTGCCTTTATCTACTCGTAAAATGAATAATTTTGTTTTGAAACAAACAGTTGTTGATTTACAGTATGCGGGGCCAAAGGATTTATAAAGATTTGAAATGCCACAAATTGATTCAGTGTCAAAATTAATACAAGTGTCAGTTCCCAGTTTAAATAAGTTTCAAGGTGACAATGTGTCAACGCTGCGAAATCGGTTTAGTGCGTTTACATGTCGATAAGTGATTGGAGCGTTTGCAAAACATTTTATTTCGCATAATGCGTCTAAATTTATCAGAAAGCAACTTATGTGATATTTTAATAACAATGTTTATATGACTATTAACCATAATAAGAGAGTAATGACCATTTTACAATTTATATATCACATTAATATGAAACTGCAATAGAGCAATTGTTTGTGATAGAAACCTAGGCATTAGGTCGGGGAATTTTTATCGTGATGACGTGCACGCCACTTTGTTTGGCGTTGACATAGTTGGCTGTTGGTCATCTAATGCAAATTGTACCGCAAATTGTACC